ACCCTGAGTAGAGTGCCATGGCGTCATATCTCACAGCAACTTCAAACTCTTGGGCTTAAGCGATTCTCTTACCTCAGCCTCCCAAGTAGCTAGGCCTACCACAACACCTGGCTATTTTTTTGTTGCAGTTTGGCAGGGCTGGGTTTGAGCCCACCACCCTCAGTATATGGGGCTGGCACCCTATCACTGAGCCACAGGCACCACCCGTTTTGTTGTTGGGTTTTTGTTTTTTTTTTTTTTGGTAGCTGGTCCAGGGCAGGTTCAAACTCACCAGCCTCAGTGTATGTGGCCGGTGCCCTACTCACCAAGCTATGGGCACCACCCTTTTTTGTTTGTTTGTTTGTTTTTTGAGTCAGAGTCTTCCTCTGTTGCCCAAGATAGAATGCCATGACATTATTGTACCTCACGAAACCCCAAATTCTTGGCTTCAAGCAATGTTCTTGCCTCTGCCTCAGCCTCCCAAGTAGCTGGGATTTCAGGCACCTGCCAAAATACCTGGCTATTTATTTTATTTTTAGTAGAGATGGGGTATCACTCTTGGTCAGACTGCTCTTAAACTCCTGAGCTCAAGCAGTCTACCTGCCTTAGCCTCCCAGAGTGCTAGTTTTATAGGCATGAGCTATCATGCCCAGCATCCCAGCATTTTATTTTATTTTTATTTATTTATTTATTTTGAGACAGAGTCTCACTATGTCACCCTCCATAGAGTACTATGGCATCACAGCTCACAGCAACCTCAAACTCTTTGGACTTAAGCAATTCTCTTGCCTCAGCTTGCCAAGTAGCTGGGACTATAGATACCCACCACAACACCCGGCTGATTTTGGTTGCAGTTGTCATTATTGTTTAGCTGGCCTGGGCTGGGTTCGAACCCACCAGCCTTGGTGTATGTGACTGGCACCCTACCCACTAAGCTTTGGGTGCCGCACTTATTTTATTTGTTTATTTTTAAAACAGATTCTCACTCTGTTACCTGGGCTAGTGGAGTGCCATGGCCTCGACTTAGCTCACAGTAACCTCAAATTCCTGGGGTCAAGCAGTCTTGCTTCAGCCTTCCAAATAGCCTCCTGTGTGCTACCAGGCCTAGTTAATTTTTCTATCTTTAGTAGATAGGGGGTCTTGGTCTTGCTCAGGCTGATATGGAGCCACTGGCCTCAAGGGATCCTCACACTTTAGTCTCCCAGAATGGTGGGATTACAGGTGTGAGCTACCACACCACACCTAGCCGGTACCATACCCCCTATCAATTCCCTGTCCTACCATTCCACTGTAATTTCCTACCTCAGCTCAGGATAGGCTACTTGTTAAAAGTTTGATGTGTGTGTATATATATATATTTTTTTTTTCTTTTTTGAAGACAGAGTCTCACTATGTCGTCCTCAGTAGAATGCTGTGGCGTCACAGCTCACAGCAACCTCAAACTCTTGGGCTTAAGGGATTCTCTTGCCTCAGCCTCCCAAGTAGCTGGGACTACAAGTGCTGGCCACATGCCCGGCTATTTCTTTTGTTGCAGTTGTCATCATTTAGCAGGCCCAGGCCAGGTTCAAACTTGCCTGCCTCGGTATATGTGGCTGGTGCCCTAACCACTGAGCATGGGCACGAGCCTGATGTATATTTTTTCATACCATTTTCTGTGTAAATACTAATGTTTTTCATATTATTTGGGGAGATTTTTTGGTTCATTTTTTGCAGGGGGGTTGAGACAGGTCTTGCTGTGTGACCCAGGCTAGGGTGAAGTGTCATAGTCACTGTAACCTCAAACTCCTGGGCTCAAGCAATCCTCCTGTCTCAGTCTCCAGGGTAGTTGGGACTACACGCATGCACCACCATATCTGGCTAATTGGTGCATGTATTTGTAGAGATAGGGTCTTGTTACGTTGCCCAGGCTGGTCTTGACCTGGCCTCAAGTGATATTCCCTCCTTGGCCTTTCAAAGTGCTGGGATTATAGGTGTAGGTTACCATATCTAGCCAAATACTAACATTTTTATTTATAAATTTGCATGGAAAGTTGTTCTGTTGTAGTTATAAAAATAGAATACTATAGGGTGGCGCCTCTGGCTCAGTGAGTAGGATGCTGGCCCCCATATACCGAGGGTGGCAGGTTCAAACCCAGCCCCGGCTAAACTGCAACAACAGCAACAAAAAAAAAATAGCCGGGCGTTGTGGCAGGTGCCTGTAGTCCCAGCTATTCGGGAGGCTGAGGCAAGAGAATCGCCTAAGCCCAGGAGTTGGAGGTTGCTGTGAGCTGTGTGACACCATAGCACTCTACCGAGGGTGATAAAGTAAAACTGTCTCTACAAAAAAAAAAAAAATAGAATACTATAAGTTTTTTTTTTTTTTTTTTTGCAGTTTTTTGGCCAGGGCCGGCATCCTCCTCCTTGAGCCATAGGTGCCGCCCAATACTATAAGTATTTTTTTTCTTTTCTTTTTTTTTTCTTAATTAAATCATAGCTATGTACATTAATGCAATCACGGGGTACAATACTATAAGTATTTTTAAAGTGGGTTTTTTTAAACTATGTTGTGGACATTTTCCATGTGTTATTGAATCTCCATTATCTGATGTTTCCCTTTTGTACTTTTTCCCTCCCAGGTTCACAATCTATACAGTTGCATAAAAGTAGCAGAAGATTTTGTATCTCCAGAACATGTAAAGCACTGTTTCCGCCTGACTCAGGAATTCAGGCATCTCTCTAACACTCATACAAATCATGAGGATAAACTGCAGGTAAATAACACTTTTATCCCCACTCTGTCTTCTTCTTGCATTCACACATGCAAACACAGAAGCATATTCTCTTTTCTGAGGATATTCTCTGGAGGTCCTAACTATGGAGGAAAAATGTCTCAAGAAACTCAGGGGATTAGGGAGCCCTTTTCAAGAAGGATTTAATCAGTTCTCTTCAGATTTGTTTAGAGAATAGCCATCTTTTAACCTAACCATTTCCAGTGTGATGGTCCTCATTTCTCTACCCTTGGGAAGTGTAGTGTTTTTAGTGTTAGTAACTAACTAGACTGACCTCCTTGGGCAGGTAGAACAGCTGTATGGCAATGTGTTCTGAACATGTTTCCGAGAAGAGGTATTGTCCTTGAAGCTGCTTCTCATAGCAAACTTCTTTGCAGACTCAGTTTCTTAGAGTTCTACTAGGGATTATAGTCCATGACCGTAACAGCTTATTCACAGGGCTCAGGATTGTTTTCTCCTTGAAGAACAGAGCTGGACATCAGATTAGATTTCCTCTCCTCTTGAAATGGTTTGGAATTTTAAGGGCAGAATTTCTTTTTTTTTTTTTTTGAGACAGAATCTTAAGCTGTCACCCTGGGTAGAGAGCCATGGTGTCACAGCTCACAGCAGCAACCTCAAACTCTTGGGCTTGAGCAATTCTCATGCCTCAGCCTCCCAAGTAGCTGGGACTACAGGTGCCCGCTATAATGCCTAGCTATTTTTGTTGTTGTTGCAGTTGTCATTGTTTAGCTGGCCTGCACCAGATTTGAACCTGCCAGCCTTGGTGTATGTGATCAGCACCCTACCCACTGAGCTACAGGTGCTACCTCTTTGTTCTTTCTTTCTTTTTTTTATACAGGAGTATGTTTAATTTTTCATTAAATTATCTTTAAATTAATGATGTCATGTAACTAACCCATTCCATCTATCTTTGTCACCAAATACATTTTTTTGCCATACTCTATAATCTTTGTTCTTTCTAAAGTAACTAAAGTGCCCCAGGGTGTTAATAATGAAATTCTGCCCGCTTGGCACCTGTAGCTCAGTGGCTAGGGCACCAGCCACATACGCTGGAGCTGGCAGGTTTGAATCCAGCCTGAAAGCAGGATTCTCCAGGCTCAGCAATTTGAACACACACATAGCTTTTCATTGTGACCTCTTTCCTCTAGCATGCCTGTGGCTTAGGTAGGTCTTTGTTTGATGATCCTGCAGGTTCAAGTGGCTTTTCTTTTTCTTTTTTTTTTTTTTTTTTTTTTTTT